AGATGAATTAATTGTTACAAGTATATCTCTAATTATTTTGGTGTCATCCTTTGAACGCTCTTCTTGAGTGCCTTTTTGTGAGTTCTCTACACCAACAACAACTATTTTGGTGGCTCTGTTGGCTTGCATGCACTGTTTTTTGTTGATTGTATTCATAAAAGCATAATTAGCAGTTGTTCCAATTTTAGTCATATCTAGATAAGATGGCCTAGAAGAGTGTAATTGATGCGGAGGAGATTTCTTTTTTCAAAGACATTCTATTTGTTCGCGTAAACTAGTGTTTTCATCTCTAAGCATTTGAATTTCATTTGCCATGGCTGTTTTAAAAGCAAGAAACTCATTGCGAAGTTCTTCATTTTTACTTAAAGCATAAGCCACTGAATTCGTTTTCAAGTGTGAGGCTGTTAAAACTGACATATTTGATCCAACTTCTGCCTGATAATGCAGGAGAAAAGAGGGCTACCATCCTTAATAACAGCGGATTACCCCCTGATCGTGAATTATTTATTATATTAGTTTAATCTTATTAACACAAATGTTTTGTGTTTTTTCCGTGAGTTATGAGTTTATGAGTTTTTATGAGTAATGGGTGTTTGTTATTTGCTGTGAGTTATGAAAAGAGTTCAGATAATTATGGTACAGATAACATTCTTGTCACATGTACACTTACACTTTTGTAAGTATGTGACAAGAATGTTATCTGAACCATAATTTGAAGAAGAAGTAAATTGGAAAATGACTACTACAAATTATGGTAAAAATGAGCAACAGAAGCAGGAGTGGTTTGGGGCTGTCCATTAATTACGTCAACAATTTTTTGGCAATTTTCACCCCCCCCTCCTTGTCAACAACTTATCAAACTTTTAGTGACCCCCCAATAAAATTACGTCAGTATTCGATTGATAGTTAACAAATGAAACAAAAAAGTTATTCAATGTAAAATGTTTAGAAAATAAAAATGTATTCAAATTTTAACTTATGAACATATTTTCAAATGAATATAATCATTTAAATTACAAATGCTTGCTCTGAATAAAAAGTGAATTAAAGTAAAAAGTATTGAAAAAAAAATTGAAACTTTCAACTTATAAACATAATTTCAGTTTAAAAATACAAAAAATTACTCTTAAAAAAAAAGGTTATAGGGTTCACAAAAATGTTTACTCGTTTAAATTAAAATCATATTTCAAGTTAATAAAGTTCTTCTCACTTTAACATAAAAATTTTCAGTGAAAGCAAATTATTTTTAATAGAGTCTAGAATAACAAAAAAAGCATACAACAAATTGTATAAACCAGGGGTTGGCAATCTTTTGAGACGGAAGAGCTGAAAGTTACAATATACGAGGTTTTTTAATTTTTAAAGAGCTACCATTATCTTTATTTTAAGTCTATTTATTTTTTTGAATTTGTTGTTTAGGTGCCCCAAGATGACCTAACGGTCTTGTCACAGAGCACAGTGGAAGTGCATTTAACCAGGAAGTTCACGCTTCCTTCCTTACCGTGACGCGAAATAGGTTCAAATCTTGTTTTGAACCTGGATCTCCTGCTTATAAAACAAGCGCTCTAACCACTGCGCCATGGCCGTACAAATATTTAAGGATGCAGAGTCCCAAAAAACCTCCAGATTTGAATGTCACAAAAATATTACTTCTTCTTAGTTTTTGGTATCCATGTGCTTTAATAATATAAAAATGGTTATGGACTACTATTGGTAAAAAATTAAGACTTTTAGGTTAAAGGAACAGTATCATTTTGACCCTGGAGTCCTTAGGTGTAATGGCGGCTAGGACTCTAAGACTTTGGGCTTAAAAAAAATATGTTTCAAGTCATTAAATTTAATGAGTTTTTATTTAGCAGATTATAAATCAACCAACAAGTTCAGAGCTTTTGGACACCAGAGACCAGTAAAAAATAGAGATATAAAACCAGAGTCCTTTTGGGACTTCGCATAGGGATGCGAAGTCCCTATATGATTATACTAATATTTGTGCATGTCAAGATAATAATATTTCAATATCAAGATTTTTTTTTTTTTTTATCTATTTATATTTATAATTTTTTATCTATATATATACCATAATATTAAAATTACAAATTTAATTATAATTTACAAAATTAGGTTCGGGGTCACTCATATAGTTTAAAACTAGTCAATGGAGTGACACCATATAAAAATAAACAAATAAATCAAAAAACAAAAATATTATTATATCTTACAACAAACCAAACATAAATTAACAAAAAATAAAAAAGATGGAGACCTAGAAACAATAAAGATAGCAAACTAAACGAAAGAAGTTAAAGAAATAAAAATCATTCAAAATTGGTATAATAATATAAAAACACTAAGAGTAACAAACCAGAGAGAATTAGCGAATAAGATGACATAAGAGAGATTGAATGTTTTAGATAACACATGTTTAATAAGATAAGCTTCGAATAAAGAAACTGAGAGAATATAATATAAAAAAAACACAAATAAGCAAAATAAATAAAAAAATAAAGATACAAATATTTAAATAAAAAGTATACTTTATACGCTTCTACATACAATATACAACACGTTACATGTGTTAGTTAAAAACAGTAAATGACAGCATATATAAGAAACAACAACAATACAAATAACAACACAAACATAACAGCAAACTCGACAAAAGGAAAATTTAAATTGAAAATATATTGAAAATATATAATAAACGACAAACAAACAATACTCAAAAATACATGACAATATAAATAATGTTCAAATTATTAAAAACTGAAAAATTGTTCATCTTGACATCGAAAGAATCACAAGAGGCTTGCAACCTGCAGTTTGTAGCCCTGCTATAAAAGTTTAAACAATATAATGTAGGTATGAATTTTTTTTTTTTGCACAACAGACTGAGACAACAATAACTTTGAAAAAATAATAGCGTTACAAGTAAACATCTTGTGTGTAATTATTTAGTTCTGTATGTCGGGTCTTTTTAAAGAACAAAACGGTTTTTAAAAAGAAGGAATATAAATTATAGGATAGGAATTAAAATACTGAAGGTTCAATGACTATGTAACACAGGACTGTAAACGCTGCAATATTTTCCTTTTTTTAAATAGTTAAATTTTTAAAAAAAAAGTACCATGTTCAAAAAAAAAAGAAAGTGTTGACGTCAATTTTTTTTGACCTCCTCCTCTCCTTGTCAACAATTGTCAAAAAAAAAATCAGACCCCCCTTCCCCCCTATTTTGTAGGCGTAATTAATGGACAGCCCCTTTGGATGTAGAACAATAGGTTTATTCCGTTTCTTTGTGGTTACAGGAAAAATGTGGCTGTTTGATTCAAGAGATGAGTTAGAGGAAATATTTTTTTTATGAATTGTTAGACTTTTACTGATAAACAAAATTTTAAAAAAGCCACTAGGACTTAACTTCTGAAATGAAGTTCAAATATTAGCCGAGAATAATGGGCCTTACCTCAGACAGTACCTTTTTGCACCAATATCTTGCAACAGTATTTTCTAGAGAGTTGTACCTGTAGAAAAAATGAACAAAATTATTATGATCATAGCAGCTACACAAGAAGATATTACCATTAATATTGTGAGGCTTGAAAAGAAGAAGATAACCATCTGATAGATTTAGGTTTAATAAGAAAGAGATAATCATGGGATAGAGTGAGGTCTGACTTAAAACTGGCTAGAAGTTGAATCCAGAAGATTATACTGCCCTGCCAATTAAGAACGCCCTAAGTTCTAAAATTGAATTTTTTTAGTTATGTTTATTAGAAAGAATATTTAGTTTATTTTAAAGAATATTTAGTTTATTATAATGAATTATAGTCAGCCTCTGCTGAATATCATTATAAGATTGTGCACTTTCAAAAAAATCATTATAATGAATATGATTCATTATAAGATGGTGCACTTCCAAAAAAATCATTATAATGAATATGATTCATTATAAGATGGTGCACTTCCAAAAAAATCATTAATGAATATGATTCATTATAAGATTTCAAAAAAATCAAGGAAGACTTTTATAAATTCGTTCTAAAGTCAAAACAAACATAATAATATATTAGCAAATTGGCTGAACAGTTTTAGGATATCAAATATCTATATAAGATCTATCTTTTCGCGGTTAGTGTGTTCTTGATTGGCAGGACAGTATAAATAAGACATGAAGGCAAAGACATCAGTTTATAAGAAAAAAGCACAAAATGTATTCCTATAAGTTTTAAGGTAGTAATAGGAAATGCAATGATGATGTAATAATAGTGATGATAGTAATAATGTAATGATAGTGATGATAATGATGATGTAATGATAAATAGGATAAATCTGATGTAGATTAACTATGAGATATTAGTTTTAGTGATCGTAGCATGATCTGAACAATGAATTGGTTTATGAACCATTGCTTTGTTTAGGTATTTAAAAAGCTGAAAACTTTGTGGAGTTGGTTTAGATTTTTATAAAGAATATCAAAATATGATGCAAAATGTCATTTAAAGTCAAGACACTTAATGCCACTCTTGATAAATTTAAGGAGAACATGAGAGCATACTCAAATGAGCAAGGTTTTCATCAAGATATATTGAAATTTTATTTCATCATCAAGTATAACAACAGTATAATGAAAACATGATTTTTGATATATGCTCACTAAAACTATGTTAGGTAATGTATGCTTTTGGCCTCATAGATAAAAAAAACCCTTTAAAGTGTAAAAAATTTAATCATCTCTGGTTAACCTCTTGACCATTTGAGATTTTGATTTTTTACAGAGTTTTATAGCTTGTGGTTTTATTCACATAGAAATTTCATTTTAAATATAAAAAAAAGTTATTCTTGATTGAACTTTTTCTTTTATTTATTATATCACTTATTTTAAAATATCTTTAAAATATAATTTACAACATAGTAGTGACAGTAACTGATAAAAATCTTAAAATGACAACCTTGCAACATATTTACTCAATGATAATAAGAAAATAAATATAATATTGAAAATTTAGATTTGTTTTTGGAATGTAATACATGCAAAACTTCTCAAAGGGAACTTTACTGCACCAAATGTCGATCTGTCATTGTTAAATGCTCTGTGTGCCGATTGTGTGTCAAAGGTATTTTTATTTATAATGGTGTTATTAGTTTAATTTATTGTTATGTTGTTTTTATGGATTAAATAAAAACAGTTTAAAAGGTGTTCTGTTACATAATGGAAATTAATTTTTAATTGCTTATTGGTCATTCTGTCATATGGTACAAAGAAAGCTCAGGAATACACACTCTTACTAGTTTATATATATATACTAGTTTATACATATATTGCAGTTTAGATTTTTTTTTTTTTTTGATAATTGTTACCATATTCATATACAGTACTGGCCAAATTATTGCAATAATTAAAAAAATATTATTTTTTACACTAAACACTGGTTTTTATTTTTCATGTTCAATATAAAAGCTTAAATTTAGCAAGCATACATGTTCTGTGTACAATTTACTCATTGCGCACATGTTTTTAGTATTTGGTTGAACTATGCTTGGCTTTTATATGTAATTCACAATCATAGTATTCAGCAATTAACTGTGTAATGTTTAACCAAGGAGTGTTGTAGGCAGTTATTACAGTTATAATTATTTTAGTAAATTATGTTGAATTTTTTTTTCCCCACTAATTAAATTTAAAATTATTTTGCCGGAAAGTGTAAAAGTAATTAAACATTTAGACTACTCATCCTTTTCCAGTCCAGTTGTACCATACTGCATTTTAAAGCTTACATTTTAAAGCTTACATTGAGTAAGCTGTGTAATTTTCAAGAGAATCTTAATCTGACCCCTTTTACAGGGAGTTTCACTTTTTCTTTCCATTGCTACTAATATAAATATAACAATTAAACAATGAAGATAATCTTAATTTAGGCGGTGTTGGTTTTACAACCTCAAATCGAGTTCTGATGGCCTGACTACTTGCAATAACCATATTAACATAAAAGTTGTATTACCAAAATTTATTATGTAAAATGAGAAGCATGTATTTCTAATTATTTAAATGTTATTAGGTTTGAATAAATTCTAATGTCATAAGGTAGCAATTAAAATAATTTGTTATTAGCTTTGTAATTCGGATGACAGTTATTTTTTTACTTCGAGTTTATATATCTTCGCATTACACTAATTAATCTATTTGCTTTTAATTTGTATTTTGAATATGGCTAGATTTGGTTGCAAAAGTTCTCTTAGAATAGATTTAATCTCTTTTCTAGGTAAGTTTTGATTACTCAAAATTATAATATAATATGTATAATAGCATAATATGTGAACAGGTTTTATAGTTCTACACACCATAGCAAATACAAGCAAAAAGTGTCTGTTAAAAAAAGTGGTATTGTTTTTAACTTGATCAATTTCTTATTATAACTTTAGTTATGGGAAACCCCTAAATGCTGCTATATCTACTAATTAATGTATCATTTTGTAATAATTAATGTATCATTTTGTAATAATATATCATTTTGTAATAATTAGTGTATCATTTTGTAATAATTTAAATCTCAAAATTTGGCAGTATAATTGTCAAACTTTAAAAAAAAGTATCAACTCATTTCATCTTCTTCAAGATTTAAAAAAAGTAATAACCATCGTCTTCAATTTCATAACAATTTATTAAAGTAACAACTGATTCATTATTCATTCATCTATTATTCATCAAAGAAAATTTTAAAACATTGAAAAAATATTTGAAAGATAACATTTCTAATCTTGAAAAAAAAAATGTGTTGAGTTATTTAATGTTTATTTTAGTCAGACATGTGTACCAAATAACATTGTAATTGTAATTATATATATATTATACATTGGCAAAATTGTAAAAGTAAAAACTAAGTTAATGACCAAATATTTTGTCTTAACTAGGGTTTTAAAAAACACCTAGCATTATGCGGTACCTTTACCTGCATAATGCTTTTTATTTGATGGATAGGACCAACTCCACTAAAATCAGAAAAATTGCACCATTTCCATGACCATGCTTAACCGTTTCTTTTATGTATTTAGGATCCAAAAATTTACCTTTAGATCTACATACCGTTAAATTGACTTCACGACCTTTTAAATTGTATTTATCCCTCAACAATACGCTTTTCCAATCAATAATAGCCTAATTTTTCACTATTTGCAAATTTAGTTCTAGCTTTTTAATTCTTTGCCGAAATGAAAAGCTTTTTTGCTGCTCTATAACTTTTTAGCTACTCTGAAGCTCAGAAGTCCTGAAAGTTGGAACTGTCTGCAAACCTTTGGACACTGGAAGTTTTAGTTTATTATTGGTGTTATTAGTACTTTCAAAAGGAAGTTTTAGTTTATTATTGGTGTCATTAGTACTTTCAAAAGGATTCTTTTTAATGTGATAAATAGATATTATGTCAAACGACATGTTTTGCCTCGTCTTCCACCCTTATTTCCGTTTCTAAAATAATAATAGACTTGTTAATAGAGTAGTACTTGATGATAATTTTTTTTTAACTTCTTTTTTATTTTCTTTGATTAAACGTTCTTGAAAAGCTAAATTATACTTTAATCTGCTATTATATTTAGGATACAAAATTTTACCTTTAGACCTACGTACTGATTGATTGTAAGACAGAAATTGATAATGATATAACTTTCTCTTACCAAAACAATCCAAAACTGTAATCTCAATCCTTATATGTTACTCTCCGCAAAGCTAAAAAATTATTTTTGTTTTTAAAAGTTATAAAACATCAGGTTTATTTATTTTTACGTATTCATACTATGTACAAATTTTTTTCTTATATGTAAAGTTAACAATTTGATTCTGTTTAAAAGTATTTTTTTTTTTAATTATTTTATTCAGTTGCTGTATACTATTGAAAAATTATCATTTTGGTTTGGTTCTATTTTGGTTGCTAATGTTTTGGAGAACATTTATATTCATTGTTAGAATAATGTCAAAGCAACAATTTTGATTGTTGTTTTTGGTTGCTTATGTTTTGGAGAACATTTAGATTCATTGTTAGAATAATGTCAAAGCAACAATTTTGATTGTTGTTTTTGGTTGCTTATGTTTTGGAGAACATTTAGATGCATTGTTAGAATAATGTCCAAGCAACAATTTTGATTGTTGTTTTTGTTGTTACCCGATCTGAATCACGGTTTATTTGCTATTGGTGGTATTTTTCGCTTGTGGCTTCATTTCACATTTATTTAAGTCACCAACTATGTGAATAAGGAATTGCAACCAAGTGTGAACCAGATTATTTGGATTTTTAAGTATGAGAGCTATGAAATAGAGCTGTAAAATTGTTTGCTATGTGGGGTAATATACATGATTATTAATCTTTTTTAATCAATTTTTATGGACTTTTTTTTTGCTTCCACTTCATTTAATCGTCAAATTTCACCAGTTTTCCTCTCAAAGAAATTTCATACATAGTTTTGTTCGGAGAGCTACCACCCATCACAACAGTGGGTTAACTCTGACCGTGAACCTTTTTAATATATCAAACTTGTCAACAAAAATTCTTATTGCTCAGGGACTAAAAAATTTTAGTTCGTTTATTTCGGACTGCTGTTTAAATAAAAAATATTAAATAAAAACCATCTAAGACATGTTTTATTTAAATATAGTTTTGTTGTGATATTCTTTACACATTTATTTGATCCTGATTAACTTACAAATAAGGATATAATTCAATATAAAGACATTTTGAAGATAATATATCTACGAATATGCTTTATTGAAGAAAAATTATGTACATATATACGTTGGCCCGACGTCGGCCCAACGTAGGTTTTTACAGCGGCCGATTTTACCGACCGATTTAACTACGTCGGGCCAACGTAATTTTTGCTCATCAGAATGATGTAGGCCCAATATCGTCGGGCCGATATCAGTAAAACGATATCAGTAAAATGACATCGGGCCGATATGAGTAAAACAACGTTCGGCCGAGATCAGTAAAATGACGTCGGGCCGAGATCAGTAAAACGGACATTAGCCCGCTTTAATTTTGATCAATAAATGAGATTACAAAAGCGACTATTATTCATAGCGGTTATAAAATAGAATGGGAAATTATCGAAAAAAACATAATAAAACGACGAAATAATTATTTGTTTTTCTATTATTATCTTAACTATTTTGTATGCAATTTAAATAGTTATTAAATAATAAAAATATAAAAAATAGTTAACAGCAAATATTTCAACAACTTTCGAAGCATGTCGATATACAGTTTAGAAGTTCTTACGGTCTTATCATAGAGCACCGTGGAAGAACATTTAATAGGAAGTTCACGCCTCCTTCCCAGCCGATGTCGCAAAACTTGCCCAGAGGTGGAGTTTGAACCACGGATCTTACGTTTCTGAGGCAAGATCTTACGTTTCTGAGGTAATTTTATATATATATATATATATATATATATATATATATATATATATATATATATATATATATATATATATATATATATATATATATATATATATATATTTATACCTTTTAAATACTATTAAAAAATGGAATTAAAAAAATAATTATGTAGCTAGGATAATATTTTTTTGTAATATTGTAATTGTGTCAAATTGTTTTTATTTGTCTTCTACATTATTTGCAAGTTCGTCGTTCAACTCTAATCTTCTCCGCTTTGCGCGACCTTGGCTCCTATCTTTTGCGTTTTAAAGCCATTTCTTCACTACGTCTTCTACTTCAACAGCTGTAGCTTTTTTTGTCAATGGATTGAGTCGAGCTGCATCTAATAAAACAAAAGAAAATTGAAACTTATTTATAAATTTCATAAAGTGCCTTATTAAATTTAACAAGTATAGTTTTTCGCCATAACTATCAAAAATTGGTTAAACAAGTAACCAATATAAAGCAGTCATTGCAGCATAATCTTTTAAATTTTTTATTTAAATTTTGAATACATCTAGACACTGACGTAGGATGGTCTGTAAAGTTTTAGAGGCTGAAACAGAAATTAAGGCATCATGCATATATTTAAATTTATAAAAAATGGTATAAAAAAATATGCATTAGGCATTTCTTTAAATTGCATAAAAAAATGTAAAAAATGTAAGTCTCATAATTACCATTGACAATTTTTCTTATCATAAGAACTGAAAAGGCATGTTTTTCCCCATGTTCCATGAAATTTAATTCACCAGCTAAAACATTAGTTATCAAAGTTGTTAATACTCTCCTTGTCATATCTTTAATGTTGGCACCACCAATGACACCAAGATAACTAACCTAAATAAATAAATTTACTTTCAACAACATTTACAAATTTTATAAATATAAAATGTATATGTATATATATTTTTAATTTGTAAAACCATGTTTAATAAAACTTTTATTAAACATCGCCCCTTTATCCGGATTTCGGCCCCATCCGGATTTCTCTTACGAAAAAAAAAACAAACAGAAAAACCGAAATTAGGTACCTAAAGTCTAACACTAATTAGACTAATTGCTTATAATTATTTTTCGTTGAAATTTGGCAAGTTCATAGAAAATGCATGAAGCAAACTATTTTAATAATGAAAAAAACGGACTCTACATTTCTTCAACTGCAAATCCATGTGACAACATCAACCAAATTTTCATGCAAAACTCTCAGCAAAATAATCCATATAAAGGTATCGTAGCAATACACAATAGTTATATAAAAACCAAGCCTAATCTTTCTTCTTTTCTAAAAAGAACCACCTCAAAAAACCGTTTGCCTAGGGCTACCTAAAAAAGTGGTATACTTGTTATAACAATAATTAAACTAATTTCTTATTATTATTTTTCCATTGAAATTTGGCATGTGCATAGAAAATGCATGAAACAAATTATTTAAATAATGAAAAAAGCTGACTCTACATTTCTTCGACCACAAATTCATATGAGAACATCAACCTAATATTCAGGAGCAAAATATCCTATAAAAAAAGTTAGACACCATACTTAAAAGTCTTTAAAAAATCAAGATTAGCTTTTCTTCTTTTTAAAAAGTATCAATGTGTATATATGTTTTTAGAAAGAAACTCCACAAAACTACGTCTGCCTCACGTCTGTTAAATAAATTGTATAAAAAACATTTCAAGAAACTTACGATTTGTTTGTGTTGACTATTTTAACTAAAATAAACCTTTCGCCCACTTCTTCGCATGATACAAACTGTTTCGTTTCTCGTAAAACCACTTCTTCGCGTGATTCAAACTATTTCAATGATATTAAACCACTTCTACTCGTGATACAAACTGTTTCAATATATTAATACTTTTATCGCTAACTTTCATAACAAACAGTTTGTTTTCAAAAGTAAGCGAGGATTAAGCAAATTACCATAGCGTCGTTAAAAAAGAAAAAGACCTATAAAATTATAAATAACTGTTTTGTAAATCAAGTAACAAAGTTTTAACAAATGCAAGGTAAGTTATGAGCGTGGTTCACTTCCATATCTGTTACTTACAATGCTTACACATAATAAAAAAGTGTAATAAAAACAACACAAAAAAAAAACAACGTAAAAATTCCATTTTTATACTTATAATGCTTAAACGTAAAAAAAAGTTTTTTTAAAAAAAAGTAAAAAAACGTTAAAAAAACAATTACAAAAAAGTATAGTAAACGTAATAAAAACGTAGTTAAAAAAAAAAAGGTAACATAAAATAATAAAAAACGTAATAAAAAAAAAGTAATAATTTAAGTATTTTGATCAAAACTTTGTCAAGAATATTTCTTTTACAGTTTTGACTAAATATGCAGACCATAAGTAGCATTTTTTTACCAACTATTTACTCTAGCCATAAATACTATGTTTAAATATTTTAATTGTGTACATTATTTATTAAGTATAGAAGTAAGTTTTTGCAACAAAAAAATAAAAATAATAATAATAAAAAAATTAAACTAAAAATAATTGGATAATATTTACCTAATTAATTTAAATAACGGAACAATAACTGTTCAGTAGTTTAAAAATTAACACGAGAAAACTAGCACACGTTGGCCCGATGTTCGGCCGACGTGTTAGAAAATTTACTACAGCATAACTATGTTTTAAATGTGCATTGTGGTTTTCTGCACTTTGTTTACTCAATTATTGAGTAAGCTAGGCGCAGAAAACCACAACGCACATTTAAAACATTGCATTTCCTACGTTATGCCGACGTAATTTTTCTAGCTGATATAAAACTCGTTGGCCCGACGTCGGGCCAACGTGTTCGCGTTATCTGGGTTAAAAAAAAAACTAACATCATGTTTTATTTTTGACTATTTAAAAAATTTAGCGACAGGGATTTTGGATATACGATAAACAATGGACTTTTTTAATATCCTATAACAGATTATTACAACGATAAACTTTTGTGTGACAGGTTATTGCAAAGATAGGCTTTTCTGTAATAGGTTATTGCAACGATAAATTTTTATATAACAGGTTATTGCAGCGACTTAGCAAGTTTACATCATTTGTATTTTTATTTTATTTATATTTACTTTTTTATTTCATATATTACATTACAAGGAAGTTTTTTTTCAAAAAAATTATGAGAATTTTTTTTTGTTTTTTTGTATATTTATTGTTTTTGCAACTTGAAAACAGCATGATTCTCTATTTAACAGTAAGATTCCTTATATATACCTGTGTACAACATGATTCCCTATTTAACAGCACGATTCCCTATTTAACAGCATGATTCCCTATTTAACAACATGATTCCCTATTTAACAGCATGATTCCTTATTTAACATTTGACATAAAAATTGAGTTTTTGAATTTCCGTTTTTAAATTCTTCTTTCTAGGTAGTTAACTTTTAGTACTGGAATATCAATTTCATAACTCAAATAAATTTTTACTTTTATTTTAGGTCTGTTGAGTTTTTGTATTGTTTGTGGTCATGGTGGTCATATGTTTCATTTACAGGGTTGGTTTAGACAACACGATTGGTGTGCTTCTGGTTGCGGTTGTTATTGTGTGCGTATTGGAAAATTTTCCTCCGAGTAAATAATGAATTTCCATTAAGTTCGTTGCGCATGTAAAGATCGCATAATAATAATCATCAGTTTTTGTTTACAAAATTAAATAATACAAGAAAATTTTTGCAATGGAAGAAAAATTTTTATGCATAATATTTTAAAAGTTTATCATTTTCATACATTTAAATTTTTGTTGTTTAAGTATTTTTTATTTACCAAAGCTTATGAAAAACATATAAGAACTATGTTTATTAGAAAAAAAATTTATTACAATAAACAAATTGCTTGCGATGTATAGAAACAGTCACATCCTTAGAATTTTTTAATTTTTTTTCATTAAAAAAATAAAATATTTTCCTCGCTCATGCTAAGCGAGGTCTGTCCCAACCCTAATTTCCCCTTTCCTGATACTACGTTTTCTATAATCATAATATATATTTTTAAGTTTTATCACTAATTAAATTCATCGACAGATTTTAAATTTCATTAAAAAATTTAAATGTCGTAAAATATATTGTAAAAAAAATTTCATTAAAAAATTAGATGTCGTAAAATATATCGTAAAAAAAAATTAGCTGTATCCCTAGTTTTTCCTGCCAAGAAAAATAAATGTGCCAACTCGTACAGTTTTGTTTTCCTTGTTGCTGGCTTCAAATGCGCTCATAAAACACTCATAATATACATAAATTATTGTGGAACTGCTTTTTTAATGATTTTGTCTTATTTTTCAGTTAGTTTTGGTACCAAAAATAGAGTTTTGTCATAAAAAAAAAATAAAGATTCCAGGATATCAATAAAAACCTTTTTTTTTTTAACTTTATCTTATTTTTCAATTTAAAGCAAGTTTTTGCACAATAAAAGGCGTTTTGTCTTAAATAATTTTAATTAAGTTAGTGTACAGAAAATGGTTTTTTGTCGTAAAAAACTTAGGCTTCGTTGCCTCTCTCAAGTTTTTTTAAACCTTTTTTCAAATAAGCCCAAAGAATTTACAAAAGAATCACAGATGACTCCGAATGAAACCAATAAAAACCTGTTTTTTTGATTAGATTGTCTAGTTTTTTAAAATTAAGAAAACTTTTGTATAAAAAAAGAAGCTTTAAGTCGTAAAAAACTTTGCTTCCCACAGGTTTAACAATTTTTGAAAAAACACACATAATCAACAAAAATTTAACATAATCTTTTCGAAGAATTTTGTGTAAACTGTTTTTTTTGACAATTTCTTATCTTTTGTACAGAAAAAGGCGTTTTGTCGCAAAAAAACTTAATTTCTTTGCTTTGTTTGTCACATGTTTATTTTAACGTTTCATTAAATAAGCCTAGAAAGTCTACAAAAATAAAAATGAAAAATCAGTTTTTTTAATGATTTTGGATAATTTCTTTTAATGATTTTAATTATAATGATTATTTCCGTTTTAAGTTTTTGTACAAAAAAAAAAAGTGATGTTGTTGCAAAAAAACAAATGTTTGTTTGCTTTCAGATCCGAGCACATAGTCAGTGCTCGCTGACTATGTGCTCGGATCTGAAATCTCACTTCATAGCACATCATTCCACACCAGCACGGGGCAGTAGCTCTTTTGGCTAAGAGTGATGGCTTGTGGCCTACGGTGACTAATGTGTGCATTCGATCAATTGAAATCCTTTCTGTAGGTCTTACATATGGCTCTGATGTGCTAGCTCACAAGCGCAAGAAGTGAGTGTGTTTATCTTTCTATTCACCCGATTTGAAAGTGAACGGAAACATAACGAGACCATGTTTGACGACCAAAACGGTACTTACTAATGCACTACAACATCACACCTGTAGACATCAACAGCCTCTAAAATCAGTATATCAAATATTTGATATTTGTTACATATCATCTACACACAGAGTAATTTTAGTGTTAGTTGGTTCTTCTGCTGCCGCCCGAAGTTAAATAACTTCGTTCTTCACCTTCACAAAAGTCTTATCATTTTATATTTTCTTATGATTTTTATTTTTTATTCAATGACACCATCTTCTAACTGTTTTTATTATCACATCTCTCAGGTCTACGAAACTGAACGGCTCCGTTGGTCACTTTTTGCGATTATTGTGTCGCATAAACAAAAAATTTATTCTTTGTGGCTGGTGAGCCCCGACTTTTTCTAATGTTCACCACAACGACAAAACGGACATTAGGCTACTAGATATGGTTACAGCGATTAATAACCTAATGACACTCACGCACACGTTCAGTCGGAAGCTCCACAATGCACATCGGATCAGCGCTCGTTGACTATGTGCTCGGATCTGAAATCTCACTCCATAGCAAATCATTCCATAACAGCACGGGGGAATAGCTCTTTTGGCTAAAAGGGATGGCTTGTGGCATACGGTGACTAATCGCGACGTTAGAATTATCTTGTGCTATCTCCAATTTTTGAAAAAAATTGAGATTTTATTATTTTTGAATATTTTAGCATTGTGTTGTTCTACTTTAATTATATTGAAAAAAAATGAAACTTTTAACACGGTATTGCATGCAATATTGCATTGTTTTATCTCCTTAATGAGCAAACTTGAAAATACTATCTTGTTCTATCTCCAATCAACCAATCATATTACAATTACAAAGTTGTTCGGAATAATTTTATCAGTTTTGTTGTTTTCAAAATGGCAACTGCAAATATTGACACGAGGGGCTATTTCCTGAGATCAGATCCCTGTTTTGATTGGACGAAAAATTTAACTTGCATTAGGTCCGATAAAATGTTTATCGTTTGCCGGATTTTAGGAGTTGTATATGAAATATTAGTAAAGCGCATATGATATCACTGATCTCAAAATATAACTGGATAGCGGATTCTATTGTTTTTTCCGAAAAAAGTTGAAGCCAAAATTGGCCTCCCAAGATGGCGGCGATTTTAGTTCCTAGCGGTAAAACCGATATATATTATATTTTACTTTATCAAAATACAAAAAAAAAAAAAAAAAAAAAAATTATGCTTTTGTAAACTTGTAAGAAACAGAAGAAAATAATGAATTTTATTAGTAATAATAAAAAAAAAAGGAATTATTTTTTTTTATAATTGAATTTATTATTAAATGGCATTAGTAAAATTTACAATTTTAGTTTTATGTATAATTTATGTATCTTTTAGTTCTTAGCTACCCAATGCTGTATGCTAGAAAGTTAATAACATAACAGCATGTTAAGCAGCAATCATTTCTACCTATAATTTTATATTCTCTATTTTTTGTAACAAGATACCAATTTGTAAAAATGCTGCATGAACTATTAATTGAGAATTGTGAGTACACAGAAACTCAAGGGTTTCTTCTAGAATTATATTATACTTGAATGCTATTATTGCATAAATTGTCACTTGTACTGTTAAAAAAACAGGTCTGAATTATGTTATTTATAACAAATTTAAAACAAATAAAAAGTTAATGATCATTTCTTACTTAATTACTCAATACAAATAAGGATGCAAATGTATGTAAAAATACATTTGTTTGAAAAAAATGTTTTAATTAAATCTTTAATATAAAAATAATCAAAACATCTCTTTGAAATATCTTCATAACTAAAGTTATATATACTGTTTACCTGCTGTTAAGTATTATGGTTATATGCTATAGTTTGGTGACTTTTATGTTTTAATTAAATGCATGTTGCAGTTAAACAATTTTATAAATTTTTATATGATTGTCTGGTCTAAAAACTGGTTTTATTGGATAGTTGGTAGCTATTAAATCTGTTTAAGATATATTTCTAAACTGAGTGAGAAAAGTAGGTTAAAATTATAAATAAAATTATTATAAACCATAAAATTATTAAATATATAAGCTTTTTATTAGAGCTGTGCGGGAATGTTTAACAACAATATCAATTGTCAACAATTTACAGCCACGTATATATCTTCATCTCACATATTTATGATCTTGAGCGTTCAATATTAAAATGGAATAATCACAAATATCTACAATCTTGGTAATATTGACCACGATTATGCAGATATTCCAAATTGCAGCATTCTATTTGAATTCAAAAAATTTCATAGATTGCTGGATAAACAGCTAAAATGATATAAAATAAATAATCTGCATTAAATGTATATATTTATATTTATATAATATGTATATAATATGTATATATGTATATATGTATATATGTATATAAGTATATATATATATATATATATATATAAATAAAAAATGATTAAAATGATTTCAGTCTTTTACATTTCAAACATTTATTTTAGTTGTCTAAAAATTGTTAATAACTACTAGAGTCTTATTTTAATTCCACTAATAGGTTATAACTAGTTATAACTAATAACTAATAGGTTATAACTAGTAATAAGCTATTAATAATAGGTTATCACTAGTTGTATAGAGTAACCTAGTAGTTTATCTACTAGGTTTTAGGTACTATTTTTTTGTGTGCTCTTTACTAATATTAAAATAAACTAGTTTCTAATTAATTTAACTAAAAATTTTTATCCTATTTAATCAAACTTTTTACAAAAAAAAAAGATTTAATGACAAACAAACTTACTGTTTAGAAATTACTTACTGTTTAGAAATTAAATAAAATAAACTTACTGACAAACTTACTGTTTAGAGTATATTTTGTTAACCAAAATATTATAAATATTTTAGAAATTTACGTAAATATGTAATATTGTTGCTATGTAAAACCAAAAATTATATTTGTATTTGAGACTTGTACATTTATTTTTATATAATAAAAGATATAAAAATTCGTTACAAAAATTTCTAAATTTGTAATAAACAAATACGCCGCCATCTTGGGAGGCCAAAACTAGCTTCAAAAAATTTGCCGTATACGCTATCCAGTTATATTTTGAGGTAAGTGATATGATATATTGGAGATATATATTTTAGATTGAGGACTGTTTGATATAGATATATAGAAAATATATATATAGATATATAGAAAATACATATAGAAAAAAGGGTTTTATCGTAAAAACCTTAGGTTCATTTTTTTCACTTAGGTTACCTGACTTTATACCTTAACAAATCATCATAGTCTTAAAAAAGAAATTTAAAGATTCTTAAAAAAAGCAAAGGAAACCTGTTTTTCTTACGCAATAGTCTTATTTTCTAACTTTAGATAAGTTATTATATAGAAAAAGAAAATTTAGCGAAAAAAACATGTGTTTCTTTGATTAACTCAGGTTTATTTAACCTTATTCTTTATTAAACCATCATATTCTTAAAAAAATATCAAAAGATTTCTAAAGAAAGCAGTGGAAACCTGTTTCTTTGACGCAATTGTCTTAATATTAAACTTTAAATAAGTTATTATGTAGAAAAAGGGGTTTTGTCAATAAAAACAAAGGTTCCTTTCTTTCACTAATGATTATTTGACATTTTTCTACTATCACATTCTTAAAAATTAAGTTACTATTAATTAACTATTTTTCAAACTATCACATTCTTAAAAAAGAAAACAAAAGATTCTAAAAGAAAGCAGTGAAAACCTGTTTTTTTGACGCAACTGCCTAATTTTATTTTAGATAAGTTATAATATAGAAAAAGTTAGTTTGTCTTATAAAACGTAGGTTCCTTTGAATCACTCAGGTTTATATGACCTTAATCTTTAACAAACCCTCATAATCTTAAAAACGAAATCAACAGATTCCAAAAAAAAGCAGTAAAACCTGTTTTCTGACGATACATTGTATTTTTTTATTTTTAGATAAGTTATTATATAGAAAAAGGGGTTTGTCGTTAAAAACGAGGTTCACTCAGGTTAATTTGACCTTTTTCTTTAACAAACCATCATAATCTTAAAA